AATACAAAACCAAAAAAAAAAAAAAAAAAAAAAAAAAAAAAAAATCCACTTCCAGATACAAATTTATGTTATTAATACTTATTTGTCAAAATCTGTAATGCGTTGTTTTGGTCAACTGTACACTGTTCCTAGTTAACATTTAAACACGCTTTAGACAAAGTTCTTCTGGCCACAGGAAAAAGCAATCTCAATTTATTTACTTTTCTGATGCAAAAATACATTTTAAAAAATGTTAACTTTTAGGTATAAAAAATTATAGTAAGACAAACTATGGGGAAAAGAAGGGAAGTGGAACTCAATTATCAAATGCAGCTCTATAGAGAGAACCCAACAGCAGCCCCCACCAGACCACACACATGCATATCCATCCCATAACCACACTGCTCTGCTTCCATCCTGACCGTAGTCTCATTTCTCCCGGGTGATGAATTTTACAGTAATGCAGTCCTCCTCCATAAAGGGAAAATTGGAATCGTTCTTGATTTTCCCAAATGCTTTATATTTTCACAGTCTTTCCTTTGAATTCCATTTGGAGAGCAGTGCTCCATAACCTTTGGGAGTTAGGTGGGGGTTCTATAATCTGGTTACTTGGGAGGGGGTACCGGGGATCGAACTTGGGTCCTTGCGCTTGCCAGGTAGGCGGCAGAACCACTGAGCTAAATCCCTGGCCCTATAATCTGTTTCTGATAGTAGTGAGTATAACTTTTTTCAAAATTTTATCAGGGAAAAATTTTTTTATCAGAGAGGCAGAAGCAAAATGTGCTACTCCAGCTCAGGCTCCTCTTCCTCTCTTTCTTCTGTCCCTCTCCTTTCTTTCTCTCCCCCATCTCTTCTCTTGTCTCCCTCCTCAGTCTCTCTCTCTCATTTTTTTAGACAGGGTCTCACTATGTACATGTACTTTAGGATGGCCTTGAACTTGGGACAATCCTCCTGCCCCAGCTTCCTTTACAGGAATATGCTACCACATCCAGCTAACCCTTTTCAAAAAATATTCTGAGCAGGGTCTCACTAAGTTGTCCAGGATGAGATCAAACTCACAATCCTCGTGCCTCAGCCTCCTATACTGGCATGCATCTCCTCACCTGGCACATGGCTTTTTAAAATTAAAAAAATGTAGCCAGGCGTGGTGGCGCACACCTGTCATCCCAGCACTCAGGAGGCCGAGGCAGGAGGATCGCTGTGAGTTTGAGACCAGCCTGGGCTCCATAGTGAATTCCAGGTCAGTCTCAAATACATAGTGAGACCATGTCTCAAACAAACAAACAAACAAACAAAAAAAAAAAAGTAGGGCTAACAAAAAATGAGAAATTACAGTCATTCATAGGAAAATGGATGCATATTGAAGCCATACTCTTAAGTGAAATAAATATGACACATGTGTACATACCAAATAAGTTTCTCCGGTGTGAAAAACTAAAAGTCTAAGAACCAGATTATATAACTGATAATGTGAAATAGGAAGAAAAGGGCTAACAGTGTAGAGGAAGTGGGAAGGGTAGGGGAAAGGAAATAAGGGAAAAGAAAAAATATGAAAAAAGGAAAAAATGGAAACAGTCTTTGTAAATAGGGGAGGGTGAGGGAGTGAAGGGAAGACAGGGGTATGGGGAAAAAATGAGAACTAAGATCTGTCATGTAAAGGTGCAAGATCCCAATGATGATTGTAACACCGTATACCTAAAAAGTACCAATAAACTCAATGAAAAAAAATGTGGGGCTAGGGATATAGCTCAGTGATTCTGCTGCCTGTCTGGCAAGTGCAAGGTCTTGAGTTCAATTCTTGGTACCAAAAAATAAAGAAGGAAAGGAAAGGAAGAAGGAAGAAGGAAGAAGGAAGAAGGAAAAGGGAAGGGAAAAGGGAAAAGGGAAAAGGGAAAAGGGAAAAGGGAAAAGGGAAAGGGGAGGGGAGGGGAGGAGAGAAGATCACAAGATGCCTCAGGTTTCTCCAGGAATACATTAACTTACCCTTAACTGATCAAGCTTCTCTCGGATCTGAATGAACCCCAAGTGTAACTTGCCCCCAAAGTGGTCTGCCAAACGGCGGTCATTGTCATGAAGACCAAGGTAGGCTGAGCAGACCTCACAGACACGCAGCTTTTGCTGTTGAAAGCTGGATGCGGGCATAGAATTTCTATACTCTTCCTGGAAAAAGTTAAGGGAGAGATAAAGGTAACGTTTACAAAACTGGCATCCAAAACAGAACTATCTGATGTGACAATAAAGATGAAATAAGTTTAACTGGCCCTGGGAATTGAGCCTATGAAGTACTCTACCAGTTACATCCCCAGGCTTTAAAAAAAATTTTGATACACGTTCTCACTCTTTTTCCCAGGCTGGTCTTCAACTTCAGATCTTCCTGCCTCCATCTCCCAAACTGCTGGAATTATAAGCATGTCTACCATGCCCAGCTACAGAAGAATTTTATTTTATTTTTATTTGAGACAAGGTCTCGCTATGTAGTTCAGGCTGGCCTTAAACTCCCTATGTAGCCCAGGCTGGTCTTGAACTCATGGCGATCCTCCTGCCTCAACCTGTCTTAACATAGTGAATTCCAGGTCAGTCTCAACTACACAGTGAGACCCTGTCTCAAAAACAACAACAAAAACAAAGAGTAAGATCAGAGAGAATATTATTGTCTAGGACTACTAATTGGAGGTGGATGTCAGTCTAATCTGCTCTGCCTGCCTGACAAAGACTGCCAACCTCAATATTCCAGGAACAGCTTGAAACTATGGAAAGCGCAGCTCTGATGATCATATCCTGAGTAAATCTTCTGCTTTCTCCCTTTACCTGTACTGTTCTAATACCTGCAAGTCCTTGGTACCACTGAGTCAATTATAACTGTATCTACAATGTAGGAAGGACCAGGCAGAGCCAGGGGCACATTGACAACCAAAGCCAGGCCTGCTCTAGGGCCCATACATGCCATCAAACCCATCCTCTATCATTCTAACAGGTAGAATGGTAGTTTGTAGGTCCTCCTCAGTTGACAATCTCAGCTACAGGGCTTTTCAGGATCATTCTACCTCACCTAGAGACTAAGCTCAACACAAAGTCCCTCTTAAACTCAGACCCATTTCTTTTTCTTTTCTTGGTACCAGGGATCAAACTCGGGACCTTGCACTTGAGACAGGTGGAAGAACCACTGAGCTAAATCCCCGGCCCAGACCCACTTCTTCTGTACACCTAGCTTCACCAGAATGTACAGGCAGAAAACAGAAGAGTTTTAGGGCAGTGAAACTACTCTGATATTACAACGGGGTCACAAATCACACATATTCCCAAACTCATGGAATGCATGCTATGAAGAGTAAAGCCTGGGGTGGGGGATTTAGCTAGGCCAGGAGTTTAGCACAGCGGCCCTGCACATGCCTCACAAGTGCAAGGTGCTGCGTTCAATCCCTGGTATCCACCCCCAAAAAGTGAGGCCCAATATAAATTATGAACCTTGGGGTGATAATCATGTGTCAATATAAGTCCACCAACAGTAACAAACTACTCTGGTAGGGGATTTTGATAATGGGAGAGGGTGTGTAGGGAGATGCAAAGGATAGATCTGAAATCTCTGTACCTTCTCATATTTTATGTGAACTCAAAACTTCTCTGAATAACATTTATTGAGCTGGGGATTTAGCTCAGTGGCACCACGCCTGCCTGGCAAACACTCCTGAGTTTGATCCCTGGTACCAGGAAAAAATAAACTTATTTTTTAAAAAGTATAGGGATATCTTAAAATTAGTCCAAATGGTCAACGCCACCAAATTACTAACATTTCCCTCTTCCTAAAACATGCCATCCACCAACCTCAGCTTCTTTTTTCTTTGCACGAACTTTCTCCACTTCCATAAGAATCTTCTGAGATTCATCCACATTTCCTTCAGCTCCTAGCTGCTCAGCTTTTGCAAGTAGTTTTCCTATTTCTTCATTCAACTCATGTACTTTTTCTGCCTGAAGGGAGAAAGAATAAGGTAAGCAGACACATAAGAACAGGATTTAGAGAGCAATGGAAACAAGTACTTTTCTTGCAGCCATTTCTTTAGATCTGAGAAGAAAACCCAAAGAGTGGCTTTCACTGACAAGGAGGGTCAGACGGTTGAACTGACTCTCAGGCCAGTCCTCTACAGAATTCCCTCCTTCTTCAGTCCACCAGCAAATGTACTAGTTTAATCATTTCCCTACTAATTTTCTCTTGTTTTCTGTTCTCCGTGGGATGGTTAAAAAAATATGTACTTGGGATTGGGGGTGTGAGTGTGGTGGCACATGCCAACAATCCCAGCACTTAGGGAGGCTGAAGTTAAATAGTACTGCAAGTTTGAGTCCTGCCTGGGCGACTTAGCAAGACCATGTTTCAGAATAATAAAGATAAACAAATTTAAAAGATTAGGATGTAGCCCAGTACTGCACGGGGGTGGGGGTGGGTGGGTTTGAGACTATGTAGAAGGTAAAAGGGATATGAAAAAAAGGGAGATAGCAGCTCCTAGAGCCTGAAATGATATGTGACTGTTTAGTCATAGCTTTTCATCCTTACCAAGAACAACAGCCAAAAAGCATATGCCATCCACCCCAGAATCATCCCATCAGTGCTGGTGGTGAGTTAACAGCCATCAGCATAGCCAATATTCAGACACTGACTTATACCAAAGCCACAAGACATACCTTTGCAGAAACTTCTGCACTGATCTCTTCCTGTGTTTCTGCCAGTCGTTTCTTGGCAAGCTCAGTTCTCCGATCACACTCTGCAATAAAGGACTCCAAGTGATCCATCGCCTAGATCAGAAAAAGCAAGAGTTATGATAGTTATGATTAGTGACACATGCCCTTGGAGTCCACCTGTGTAATAGGAATATATGCCTAGATTAGTTTCTTAATGCCTGAATGATTCAATGGCAGTTAACACATAATAATCATGCATAATTATGGCATTTTCTTAAATCAAATGATTGGGAGAAGCATGGTCTTATCTGATTTAGTTGTGTATTTCTCCTAAAACTTATAAAAGGACCTCCAAGCCCCTGTAACACTGCCAAAAGCTGTGACAGTTCTCTAAGGACAGAAAAGGATGAACAAACACCAGTGTTAGAGGAACTTTTGGAGAGCTGTGCAAACTGCACTCACCAGTCTTTTTTTTTTTTTGGGTACCAGGGATCGAACTCAGGTCCTTGCACTTGAAAGGCAGGCAGCAGAACCACTGAGCTAAATCCCCAGCCCAAATTCATTTTTTTTGGAAGGTGTGTGTGTGTGTGTGTGTGTGTGTGTGTGTGTGTGTGTGTGTGTGTTAGTTAGTTAGTTAGTTAGTTAGTTAGTTACTGGGGATCAAACTCAGGTCCTTGCGCTTGCGAGGCAGACTCTGAAACCACTGAGCTGAATCCCCAGCCCTGCCCTCACCAGTCTTTGTCAGCTGCACAAATATTCTTCCCTCATGTACTGAGGGGAGAGTTCCCTCTTCTACCTAAAAAATGTAACCATAAAGTGGGTACAGTGGTGCATTCCTGTAAACCCCAGATACTTGAGAGGCTGAGATAGGAGGACCGTAAGTACAAGAACGGCCTTGGCAACTTAGGAAGACCATGCCTCCAAAAAAAGGAAAAAAGAAAAAGAAAAAGTATATGCTAAGCTGAGCGTGGTGGTGCATGCCTGAAAACCCAGCACTTGGGAGGTTGACGCAGGAGAATAACCATGAGTTGGAGGCCAGCCTCAGCTACATAGTGAGTTCAAGGCCAGCCTGAACTGCACAGCAAGACCCTGTCTCAAAACAAAAACAGAACTAAACCAACTATCAGTTGATAACTAGTAAATATCAAGCACCTCCTATATTACACCAGGAGTTAGCTAGCTAATAGTGCATGTGTTAAATGCCACAGTCTGTATTTGGCACTGATGACAGCGATCTATTACCAAAAAAGTCGAGGAAAGAAAATTTGGAGTGGAGATGACAGGACAACAGACCAAGGAGTGATTTACATCCTCCCTTCTAAAATGGATGGCAGAGGGCAGCAGTGCCTGGCAAACACAAGGTCCTGAGTTTGATTACTGGTATCAGGGGGGGAAAAATGTTAGAATGGACAGCAGAGAGTAGATTAGCTGTTGGAAGATGCTCCAGAGATCAGTATCACTCAAATGATGAGAGGGACACTGGACAGGGTTAGAATCTCCTAAGGAATCTTGAATATTTTCTTCAAATAAGCACATATTTGAGAGTAGCTCCAGATGAGGAAAAGCCTCCCTCATGGTGCCCAATCTCCCAGGAACTAGTAAAGGCAAAGCATCCTAACTCCTGAGTCTGACTACAGATGTCACTGTATAATCACAGAGGTCAAAATTCCTGTCAGTGGTCACCCAAATACTCTGATAAACATTTCAGTATATTCAAGCCAAACAATGAGGAAAGCAAATGGTCTGCTCTGTGTTAGCTAACATACATTTGCAGACTACTTCTCCCAAAGATGAAGCATAACCTCAGACAGCTCCTAGTGCATAAGCCTAGGTGACCCAGGCTCACCCAGCCAAGGCTCCTCTACTGTTTCACAGGCAAGGCATGGTGTACAGGAGGCAGCCTAGAATCTTCTCAGAGAATCAAGTGGAGCACACATGAAAACCCTACCAGTGCTTTCACCTACAGAAGCCATCTTAAGCAAAATCAGATTATGGACTCAGAAGTTAGAAAACCTAAAAGTAAGTAAATACAATAGACAACAAGCAAACCAGAGGACTGACAACTTTCAATTTCTTTATAAAACAGATCTCTGGGTTTTTTGTTTTGTTTTTTGAGACAGGATCTTGCTGTATAGTTCAGGCTGTCCTCGAACTCATGGCAATCCTCCTGAGTGCTGGGATTACAAGTGTATGCTACCATGCCTGGCTCTGTTCTATTATTACTGTCTCTTCAAAGTGTTTTGATTGTAAATAGTTCACTGAAGAGTGAATTTAAATGATTAAAAAAGAAACTGAAATTCAAAACGCAGATCGTAATCACAATTTACCACTTACTAGAAAGTCATCCAATAAATGTAACTGTCTCTAGGGTAGTGTGATGAAATACAAACTGCTAAAAGCATCTGAGCACACACCAGGTCTGCATAACTCATAATAACCATACTTCCCTCCCCAGAATTAGGGCCTATCAAAGCCCAGAGGGCAGAATAAATAAATAAATAGAACCAAGTAATTTAAATAAATCTTAATTCTTTTTTTTTTTTTTTTTTTGAGACAGGGTCTCATTATGTAGTTCAGACTTCCCTGGAACTCACCATGTAGCCCAGGCTGGTCTTGAACTCACAGCAATCTTCCTGCCTCAGCTTCATGAATGCTGGGATTACAGGCGTGCGCCACCATGCCCGGCATTAGTTCTTTTTTTAATAGCAAAAAAAAACCTACTTAATTTTGGTTTTAATTCTTTTAAAAAAATTTATTACTGAGGAATGAACTTAGGGCCTCACACATTCTAGGCAAGAGTACTCTACCACTGGAGTTATAATCCTCCTCTCCCCATGTTATTCTCTGGGCATATCCAAGTGTACAAGTCAGGTATATGCCTAGAGCTGAGATGCTGGGATGGTGAATAACCCAGGAGGCAATCTGAGCCACTTAATTCTCTACCTCTTTAGTTCGAAATCAGGTCAAACACCTACCACAAGCCGACCAGGAAATGGAATTTTCTTTTCTTTTTCTTGCCATATTGGAGAATAAATCTAGGGCCTTGCACTGAATTACACTCCAAGTCCTTTTTATTTTATTTTGAGAGAGAGTCTACCAAACCACCAAGGTGAGCATCAAACTCCCGATTCCACAGCCTTAGCTTCCCAAGTATCTGGAATCACAGGCATACACCATAGCATCCACCTTAGAAATGTCCTCTCTTCACCTTGCATGGTGAATCCCAGTACTCAGGAGAGGCTGAAGCAGGAGGGTTGTGACAAGTTTGAGGTCAGTCTGGGCTACATAAGGATCTCAAGCCCAGCATGGACTACCCAGTGAGACCCTGTTAAAAAAAAAAAAAAGAATGTCCTTTCCTCATTTTTTTCTAGTGAGTTGATACTGTTCTTGGGGTTTTTTGTTTTTAGTTTTTTGAGATATTATTCTTATCCGAAACAATTATATAGGGGAAACTAGCCCATCCATATCTTTTTGTGTTCTAAAAATAATTTGTCCCACTTTACCACTTATTTTATGTTTGTATTTTTTAATCTACACTTCCCCCCCGCCATGTAGCCCAGGCTAGCCTCAAATTTGTGATCTTCCTGCTTCAGCCTCCTCAGTACTAAGTTTATCTAGTTTGTAAAAAACTATAAATGAATAAAAATCATGAATATTTAATATATACAACTTACTATTTTGTGGGGGGAGGTAGTACTGGCAGACTGAACCCAGGCCTTCACACTGAGCCTTCCCAGCCTTTTTTGTTCAGGCTGAGCTGAAACTGGCAATTCTCCTATCTCAGCCTCACAGAGTAATAGGATTACAGACCCATCTCCAGTTGACTGACGTTATTCTGGTGACCACTTCAGTGTATACAAATATCAAAACATTCAAATGTAGCATCAGCCTATAATCTCAGAAGCCTGGGAGGCAGAGAGATATCAAATTCAACCAGGAAATCTAGCAACTGACCAAGACCCTATCTCAAAATAAAGGCCTAAGGATATAGCTCAGTGCAAAGGCCTTGGGTTCAATTCCCAGTGTACCACACATGCACACACCCACAAAACAAAACAAAAAACACTAAAAACATTCTGCAACGTGTGAGTGTGTATGTGCGAGCACTTACAATCTACTTTCTTTCTTTTTTTTTTTTTCTTGGTACTGGGAATTGATCTCAGGACCTTGCACTTGCCAGGTAGGCACAGCCCTGCTGAGCTACGTCCCTGGCCCTAAAATGTATAACAGATATTGGGAAATGGAAAAAAAAATGTTCAAATGGGAAGGAGAACAAGGGAGGGGGAAGGAAGGAAGGGGAAAGGAAGAGACAAGGAAAAAAGTGAAAACAGAAGAAAAAATGCAAACAAAGCTTTTATACGCAGGGAGGGGAGTTGAGGGGGGAAATGGGAAAAAAAAGAAGAGGCAAGATATATCGTGTACAGGTGCAAATTCCCTGTGATGAGTGTTAGCATTATGTGTATCTAAAGTGCACCAATAAGCAAGATGGATTTTGTAAAGGTGCAAATTTCCAATGATGAAAGTTGTTATACTGTGTATCTTAAATGCACCAATAAAATTAATTTTAAAAATAAAGTGCACCAATAAATGTTATGCTTAAAAATAAATGAATGTTCTTAACATTGTTCATAACAGCAGAAAAACTAGAATGAATTCTCATGGCTATGAATAAATAAATGGTAGTTTGTGACATATTCAATGAAAACAAGCAATACTGGGGCTATAGCTCAGTGACAAAACACATTTCTAGTGTGCGAAAGGTCCTGGGTTCTATCCTCAGCACTGTACACGTATACACACACACACACACACACACACACACACACACACAACTGCAATGAGTAAACAGAAACATACATTGAACAAAAATGCACAAGATGTTAAGATTATCTGTACTATGAAACCATTTTCATAAAGCTTAAAACCAAGCAATCATAAAAACATGGTTTAGTTTTGTTTTGTTTTTCTGACCCAGGTTCTTGCTATTCCAGGCTGGCCTTGAATTTATTATGTAGCCTAGGCTGGCCTGGAACTCCAAGCAATCCTCCTGCCTCAGCCTCCCAAATGCTAGGATTACAGGAAGCCGCCACCACACCCAGCTGCGATGTTTTTAAAAGAGTGATACATATAAAATTCAGGATAGTAATGGAATGATAGACACACAGATATAAAAAATAGTATTGGTTATACTGTAGAGCTCAAAGTGGAGGGATAACAATATCTAATTTTATTATTTTACCTCATAACTTATGAACATTACATTATTATTAGTTTTATCTTTGGTGTTTTGTAGCAGGGATGAATCAACACCAATAAAACTTACATCCAATTCAAAAAACAGGTCTCTTTCTTTACTTGCAATCTCATAATCTGCTCGGAGGGCCAAGTCGTGGATTTTGGTACATTCTCCTAAATCCATGCGCTGTGGGAAACAAAAAAATTTATACATGAGCACCTAACCATTATACAAAGTATGTAACATGACTAGGTATTTCAACCCTGACCAAAACACACAGTATATTTTTATGTGTATGTACCAATTCCCCCACAATAAATGTAATCATTATGTACTACAAACATGTACTAGTAAAACTTTAAAAAATTTTTAAAAAGCAATATACTTTTCTGAATACTAAAACTCTTTTTTTTATTTTGGATTTTTTTGAGACAGGGTCTCACTGCATAGTTGAGACTGACCTGGAACTCACTATGTAGCCCAGGCTGGTCTGGAACTCTCAGTGATCCTCCTGCCTCAGCCTCCTGAGTGCTGGGATTACAGGCATGCGCCACCACACCCGGCCTAAATACTAAAACTCTTGATAGGAAAATTAAGAAACAAAAGCCAGGCCTGATGGCATACACTTCTAATCCCAGCCAGTGAAGAGGCTGAGGCAGAAGGTCACAAGGCTTGAGATGTTTCTCCAATAACTACTTGTCTATCCACTCACAAAGGAGGCCCTAGGTTTAATCCCCAGTACAATCAGTCGATCAACGGAAAGAGCAGACAGAAATTAGGTTTTGGTAATTACAATACAATTTAAAACTTGGGTTTTGTGTGGCTCTTTGTATAAACTAAAGCAAATAAAGCAAATTTGGCTGATTCAGAACCCAATGAATCCTCCAAACATTTTCCTAACCTGGTAAATCACCCTGACATGTTATTGGCCTATTTGGGCCAATTTGCAAAACAAAAGGCTCTAAAATCTAAAAGGCCCTATTACTAAAATAAAATGATCTATGTCAATAAAATTAGCTTGATGTGTTAGTATGCATTCTCACCACGTATGCAATAGATAACAGTGCCTTTTTTTTTGAGACAGGGTCTCATTATGTAGCCCAGACTAGTCTTCTAGTCTTTTTGTTTTTTTGATACAAGGTCTTGCTATGTAGTTCAGGCTGGCCTTTAAATGACTATGTATACCAGCCTGCCCTCCAATTCATAGCTGTCCTACTGCCTCAACCTCCCAAATAATGAGATGACTAGCATGTACTACTAACTACACCTGGCTGTCCAAGCTCATCTTGAACTTGTGATCCTCTTGCTTCTGTCTCCCTACTAAAATTACAGGTACATGCCATTATACCCAGTAACAGTTCATATTTGTTATCTAAATCCTGAGCACAGGACTCTGAAGGAACCTCCACTCTTGGCCACCGTATAGAGAAGTTTGTATGTTAAAGATCACAGTACCAAGTTATAAAGTATATGTTAACCAAAACCAGCAACCTAACTACGAGATACCCCATTAGACAAGAGTTGGGGATTTAGCTCATGGTTCCACCACCTATCAGACAAGAGTAAATGTTCACATAACTACTAAAAAAAAAAAGAGTCCAATAACTTTTAGAAGCGCAAAGTATAACCATGTTCAAAACTAACTGTCTGGGTTAAGCAAGTCAAGGTGGCACATGCTTGTAATCCCAGCATTTTGCCAGTCTGAGCTACATACACCCTGTATAAAGAAACTGTCCAGGGTTATAATAGTCCTTAACATTCTAGGGAAATTACAGAGGCTTACAGTGCCTGACACTTGGGCTGCAGTCTTGTAGAAACCATTTACTATGCTGGGCCTGAGTTCAAAACCAGCCTAGACTACACAGTGAGACCATGTCTCAAAAAATGGAAAGGGAAGGGGCAGGGGAAGGAAAGGAAAAAGAGAAATCTTGTGTCATGCTCACACATGAAACTGAATCCTTCAGTTTCACCAACAATAGAACATTGACTGGGCAGACAAGTAGTACAATTTACCATCATTTTGACCAAAGAATCAACTTTTCCTTTATTATTCTACTCTGAAGCCAAATGGGGCTCATGTTATGTTGGTTACACAGAGGATCTAAAGGTAAGGCAATACTGGTTCTAGAAACAAAGCTACAACTAAAATTACCATCCCTGTAAATCTGCTTCATTCACTCCTCTACGTACCAGATACTGTTCTTTATATAGTTTCTACAAATGAATCTGTTTCTCTCTGAAAAATGAGTAGTAGCTATCAAGAAAAAATTGCTTTGAACTAATAAAGGCTCCCTGTTCAAAGAAAAAAACTTAACAGAAAAGAAAGAGAACAAAAAAGAACAGGTGCACGCGCACGGACACACACACACACAAACACACATGCACTAGTTGGGCATGGTGGCCCACAACCACAATTCCAGCACTCTGGGAGGTTGAAGCAGGAGGACTGCAAAATCAACCCCAGCCTGACCAATTTAGTCATCTGGCCAGATCCTGTCTCTACACCCCACCAAAAACAAAAACAAAAACAAAAACAGTCAGCGATGTCACCCAGTGCACCAAGGCCCTTTGAGGGGAAAAATGGGGGAAGAAAGTACTAAAGCATTAGGTACAATGGATGTCTTTAGGTACAAACTGAAAAAAAGTTCAACTATAAAGAAAGCAAAGACATAGGGCTTAGGGTGTAGATCAGTGGTTCCTACAAGTTTGAGGGCCTGGGCTCAAAGGGGGAAGGATGAGAAAACATCACATGAAACAAAATTCACCATTGTCTTCTTTATTTTTTTTTTTACCATTGACTTCTTTGATGTGAGCATTCTCAAAAGTCACTGCTAACAGGACAGGCTTGGTTTCCATGGTGTTTTTCTTTGGATACACCACAATTTGTCCAAGGAAGACGCAAAGTATTGGCCATTTCCTTAGCAGTCCAACTCTAAGCACAGCTGAAACATTGCATTAACTCCTTCCAATATGTTAGAGTAGATACTAAATCCAATGTGTCAGACCTTTTACTGTACAAACACCTGTGTTCTCCACTCTAGCCTCTGAGAGTCTAACACTGCTGACAAATAAAGGCACTAAAGATTCTGGAACCCTCAGAAAACTAAGTTCTGCCAGTCCGGTGGCACACATCTGTACACCCAGCATTCTGGGAGGCTGAGGCAGGAGTATTTTGAATTTAAGCCCAGCCTGGGCTCTTCAGCAAGACCTTTTCTCGAAATTTAAAAAGTAGGCGTAACCTACTTTCTAGTCTTCCTTCTGTCTTCTTAGACGTAAGCTATCTTTCTCTCAATAAATTTTCCTACTCTTAACCTCTGCTGTTCTTAGAACTCATCTTCGATTTTAGAGAACTTGAACTTGTGTTTTGGTATCTAGCAAGTTTGGGAGTTACATCTATTCCCCCTATATCATTTTGAACCTAAGTGACTGTACTTGTAATCTTGCTAGTTGACTATAGTTTTGTGTCATCTTGAACCCGCCTCACAGCATGGCTTTGTCCCATAAACACCTTTGAGAAGTATGGTGGGCAGGCAACCCACTTTCGGGTCCCCCTTCTGTCTTTCTTAGACAGAAGCTATCTTTCTCTCAATAATATTTTCTTAGCCTCAAAAAAAAAATAATAATAATAATAAAAATTTAAAAAGTAAAAAATAAAAAGGGATAGGGATCTAACTCAGTGTAAAGGTCCTAAGTTCAATTCCTAGTATTGGAGGGAAAAATAGTAAAAAGAAAAAAAGGACAAGAATTCAGCTCAGTGGTTCCTGCCTTGCAAGTGCAAGGTCCTGAGTTTGATCCCGGGGAGGCGAGGGGAGGGGAGAAAAGGAGAGGAAAGTTAAGTTCTTAAGCCTCAATAAAATTACTTCTGCTCTTCACTGTCCATCCCCTATAATGACAAGAATTTGAACAAACCTGAAATAGCCCTTAGTAGACTGAGGATTATAACCACTCTCTTGTGCTATTATATTCTAAGTTTTGGTACCAGGGATCAAACTCAGGATCTTGATCTTGTGAGGAAGGTGGTGGAACCACTGAGCTAAATCCTCGGCCTTGTCATATTCTAAAAAATTATGCTCATTCCTTCTTTTTTTCTAGTTTTTTCAGATTGGGTCTTGCTGTGTAGTTTAGGCTAGTCTTGAACTCATAGTGATCCTCCTGCCTCAGCCTCCTGATTGTTGGGAATACAGGCGTGCACCACCACACTCTACTTCATTCTATTTCAAATTATTAAAAAACACAAAAAAGGCAGGGGGTCTGGCTCAGTGTTTCCACTACCTGCCTCGCAAGCTCAAGGGCCCAAGTTTGATCCCCAGAACAAAAAACAAAAGCACACAAACGGAGGCTGGAGATTTAGCTCCGTGGTTCCACCAACTTCCTGAGATCCATCCCCAGTACGGGGGTGGGGCATTAAAAAACATAAACTGTATGTAAGCACCATCACTTTACCTCTATGCAACCTACAACAGCAAAGCTCAGAACTTACAAACACCTCCACCAGAAATCCCGGTCCTCATTCTCACTGAGCTGCAGCAGTGTGACATTTGTTCATTCCCGTATTCGTGAAGCACTTCCTTCTCAAGTACATAGCTCTCCTGGGTTGCCTCCTCCCTCTCTATGTGTTTCCAACTCCACTGTACAATCCTGTACAGTGGAGCTGCCCCTGTACAATCCTGAACACTGTAATGACACCGCTGAGTCCAGGACTTCTCTTCATCTATGTGATTCCACGGCCTGTGCCCATGACCACACAAAGCCCAGGCACAGTAGCATCCCTCCCATCCTTCTGCTCTTGGCTTTGCCGAGAGCATCATACTCCTGATTTTCACAAGTGTCCCTGAGATCTTTCCTCATCATTCTATCTATAAAACACCCACTGACCAGGTTGGTACATGCCTGTAATTCCAGCATTCAGAAGGCTGAAGCAAGAGGCCATGAGTTTGAGGCCAGCCTAGGCAGCATAGTAAATGTAAAGCCAACTGAACTACAAAGCAAGACCCTGTACCACTCACCTCATCATCCACTCATTTACTTACTGTCCACCCTTTTCCCCACTAGATCAAAGACTTTACTACTGGCCGTAATAATTCCAGTGCCCAGCAGAGTAGGTATGCAATAAATAAACATTTCTAATAGTTGCCCTCACACTGATTATTTTTCTTGCTAGTACTCCAAAAATATGATACACAGGGCTCTGTCAAGATAAAATGGTTGAACTCCTCACTAGAGTACATGTGCATTTGCTTCCTTTTGATTTCTGCCACTGTGGATTTGCTAGTCACTCTAAATTGTGTCTCCTACACAAAGAAGGATCTTACAGGCTAAACTGCTTACGATGAGTGGAAATCTTTTTTTAAATCATTAATGTATGTTCATCTTAATATCCATGACAATCTGTAGCAAACTGTAATAAACATTGTCCTACCTCAAATCAAAATGCATCCAGCACCTCAAATAACAGAAGTATAGATCTAGCAAACATTTCATGTCTGCTGTCAAGTATGCCAGCCTGAAACACTTAACACATCCAACCAATTATTTTTTGTTTTGGTACCAGGGATCAAACTCAGGACCTTGTGCTTACAAGGCAGGCAGCAGAACTACTAAGCTAAATCCCCAGCCCCCAACCAATTTTTTAGAAGGTGCAGCAGGCACGGTGGCACCTGCCTAGAATCCCAGAAACTCAGGAAGCTAAGGCCTGAGTATCATAACCTTAGGGCCAGCTAGGGCTACACAGTGAAATCCTATCTCAGCCCCCCACAAAAGATGTGCCCCCTCAAACAGTAATAATAAAAGCCATGATTCACTACGATAAATAAGAGTGGACAGCAAATTTGTGGGGGGGGGTACCATAGACATTAAACTAGGGCCTTCACGTATCACTAATCTCTAGCCCTCTCAGTACTTTTCATTTTTCTTTTTTTTTTTTTTTTTTTTTTTTTTGAGATAAGGTCTCTAAATTACCAAAGAGGGCTCAAACATGTAAACCTCCAGCCTTGCCCCCCATCTCCACCCCAAATCCCTGAGCACTGAGACAGTGCTGGCCCTGAGACAGTTTTTATATCTCACAAGGTAAAGTCTTAAAATGGCAGTCCTTTAGAGAATTTTCTATAAGGGACTGAAACACGGCAGATGATCCTCTCTTTTTTATTTGTTTTTTGAGACAGAGTCTTGCTATGCAGTTCTGGCTGGCCTTGCTTCTAACTCTCAGCGAGCCTCCTGCCGCAGCCTCTCAAGTGTTGGGATTACAGGTAGGTGCTACAGTGCCTGGCTAGTCTAGTCTGATTTTTGTTTTGTTCAACTGAAGTCAAGTCTATAGCCAGCAGATGGTGTACTGCTATTATTTTAGGTTTTTGTTTTTTGGTAGTATAGGTACTCTACCACTGAGCTATATTACCAGCAATTTTTTTTTAATGTACTGAAGATTGAACCCAGGGACTTCTTGCTGAACTATAGCTCCAGTCCTTTTTTATTTTATTTTTTTGGTACTGGGGATCAAACCCAGGTCCTTGTGCTTGTGAGGCAGGTGGTGGCACCACTGAGCTAACTCCCTAGTCCATTCTTTTTTATTTTTTGAGACAGGCTTTGACTAAATTGCTAAACTGCCCAGGCTGGGCTCAAACTTGTGATCCTCCTATCTCAGCTTCCCAGAATATTGGGATTATAGGCACATGCCACTGCTACCACACCTAGTTTGTATTGAAATCCCAAAAGGATGACTAGTTAATACCAAACTATAAAATCAATTATATCAAATTGATTTTTTTTGCAGTACTGTAACCTCTACCATTGAGCTATATCTCCAACACTTCATTTAATATATACTACTGCATATTAATTTTGCAAAATACTGGGTTTCAACGTGGTATTTTCTTATATGTATATAACATTTTGGCCATATTCATCCCTCTTATACATCTCTCTACCTTATTCCATTCCTACCGTCTAATATAGTTTCCCTTCTACTTTTTTTTTTTTTGAAACAAGATCTCACTTTATAGTTCAGGTTGGCCCTGAACTCACTATGTAGACCAGGCTGGCCTCAAACTCACAGTGATCCTCCTGCTCATCCCTTCTACTTTCATGTCATCTTTCTCTTTTTGGATTCCACATATTAGGAAAAATACCTGATATTTATCTAAGTCTGGCTTATTTCACTTAACATGACAAACTCTATTTCCATTCATTTGCCTGAAAATTGCATATGAAACTTCACTCTTTTTCATAGTTGAAAAGTACTCCATTATGTATATGTACCACATTTTCTTTCCTTTTTTTTTGGAGATAGGGTCTGGATATGTAGTTTAGGCTGACCTCAAACTCACAGTGATCTGCCTCCTGGGTACTGGGACTACAGGCAAACACCACTATGCTCAGAATCACAATTTCTTATCTGTTCATCCACTGATGGGCACCTCGGCTATTTCTGTATGTTGTCTACTGTGAACTGTACCACAATAAGTATTTTTCTATTTTTTATTTTGAGACAAGCTCTTAATTACCTACCCTGACCTTGAGCTTGTGATACATCTACCTTAGCATCGTGAGAAGCATTTAAAGTAGTACTACTGTACTTGGCCTCAACTGACACCCCACCCCCATCTCCATAATGGGAATTAAACTCAGGCCACCACAC